ACTTTGTGATCAAGTCTAAAGCCAGGACGGACTTTATTTTGTACTTCAAACCAATGAAGTGCCCAATCACTGCGAGCGACTGGCTTGCTTTTTGACGGTAAAAAATGTCGTGGACTCCGTACACTGCAAGAACGAGCGCTGCACCAGCCACAATATCCATCACCTCGAAGGAGTGATCCTCCAAGACCACAGTTATGGCAATTGAGTCCTCTTCGTCGATTCGCATCACCGGATAGGTTGATCGGTCGTGTCCCTCCTCCTGTGAAGAATGAATGCTTAAATGTAGAGTGGGCAATATTAAAAGAGAGGAAACAGCTCGCTAAGTGCCCTTAGCTAATAGCAGTGCACTCATTTGCGAGACAACGGATCATTTGCTAAAATTCCAGAAGACATTCATAGGATCCGCTCCAATAGTTGGCTGGGACTCGCTTTCCTGCCGATTGAACAAGAGTCCCAACCGAACACTAAGGCAGCACTCATTGCTAGCTCGCCCAGACGCAATCCTCCAAAACCGTTCGTATCCCTTCTGATATGAACACCTAAGATAAAGATAAACCACATCCCTCTCTCTCTATTTTTCCCCTTTGTACGGAATGGCAGCCATAAGAGGTTGCATTTATTTATGGCATCCCCAAGTTTGTACCCTATCGGAAGAAGGGGCAAGGGGAGGGGGCAGTCCCCCCCCCCTCCTTCTCCCTGACTTTTGGAACAATTATAGCAGGCAATAAGGGAGAGAGAGACAGAGTTTAGCTTCCCTGCACATCATCCCTCCACCTTCCAAACTGTAGCAAATCAGCTGGCCTCAGCCCATAGCGGTGAAAGACATAGCTTTATATAGACGAGAATCTGAGGGGTGGGATGAATGCAATTTCTTAACATCTGCATTTGTCCAAGTGGCATGCGATATGTTAGGAGCCATTTTATAGATAAATTAGTGTGAACACCCTATTGGGTTTCAGTCCTGACTGCCGTATGCTATAGTTTATTTTACAACTTTAGAAAGGAAGCTAGCGAATGCAAGTAACATCTAAGTTTGGGGAGGCCATTCATTAAATATTGTAACTACAGTTCTACAATGGGCTCATTCGCAAAAAGTACCATTCAACCTTAATAAAAAAACAATCATACCTACTAAAATGCACGAATTCTAGACAAAACAAAACAAGACGAAAAAGAAATTTAAAAGTAGCCCAAACCAAGAACATGCGAACTAAGATTGACGAGTATTAAAATAACTAATAAATATGTCACATGTCAAAACAGAACATGCATCGCGGCGACCTTAAGCTCTGCCATAACCGACACTACTAGAGAGTCAGCGAGCTGCTCATGTGTGCCACTTCATCGTGCTGCTGCACTATAGATGTGGGCTCTATGTTTTTATTTTATGCGGATGAACTGGTTGCACCACTCTGAATGCAGGGGCAGGCACATGCATTGCAAGGTCGAATTTAGAGCTCTTTTTTTTCTTCAAATAGTAGCAAGGTTAATCTATAAATTGCTTAGCCCTACTCTTGCAACATCACAGTGTCCCTCAAACCTTCATCTAGCCTTAAGACGTGTTTATTGGAATCTCGACATTTAAGTTCACACCTACATTTCTACGTTGATTTGAAAGAAAAAAAAAGAAACAGTTTTAAAAATTGCGGTGTTTGCGGCGCAGAAATTGTAGTTATTTATGTACCCATATTACCTCCATGTTACTTACGAGTTATAAATAAAACCGCTGGCCTCCCCTTCAGCTCACCAGTGTCAAATGTACTACTGAATTATCAGTCCAATAACTACTCTCTTATACAAACAAAATAGGACAGTTGAACGGAACATGATGCTTAAATTAGTAAATCACTCACATAAAAAAAAGCCTGTCGAGTAAAGACGATTACTGGAAAACACACTCGCATAGCGCGGCGACATAGCTGACAGTCCACAACCACCGACAAGCTGAATCTTGGCAAAGAAGGACTATTCAGCTCCCCGTGGAATTCGGTATGGACATACTGGGAGGACTTTACTACAGCACACATCTACCGTCAAGAAACAGCCATATTTTAACAAAAAACATGAACTAAAAATGACTTCAAACACGAAAATAACCAATTAGAATGTCTCTCACAGACTATTAGAATAAAAAGCACTTACAAATTATGCTGTACTGGACATTTCGGGCCGATCACTGTGGACTACACGCGGACTCGTCGGAGATTCCCGGCCCAGAGTTAGACACGGTTCAGACTCATCGGATCATGACAAAACGTACATTGCGCAGCAAGAACAGATGTCCCCGATGGTCAAGAGGAAGGAGAGGATCCTCTCATTGTCACTCACGTGGAAAAGAAAGCGGTCCGTCGTGTCTTCGGTCCGCCGAAGCTCGTGGTGACATGTATGGTTGGCCACAACAAAGGAAGATCACCGGTGTGTAGGCGGTGATCTTCTTTCGGAAGCTTTTGGAAAATACATACTTCGATATGCGTAAAAATATTTTTCGTTGCGTTAGAGAGTGAAACATGTGAAGTCGTGGAGGCCGGCTTCACGCTCGAGCCGAGATTCGATCGTTTAAGATCAGGAAAAATAAAAAAATAAAAAGAACTACTCGCTTCAGAAGAGTCTCTTTTTTTGTGCTCTTAGCGCATACTTTTTTTAGCGGCACACGAAATTAAGAATACGTATCTACGTCTATTATTACCTTTTTAAACTCAAATCGACCAGCCGCCCTGAGCGCCCGAAAACTAGTTTTGGCTTCCAAGTAAGCGGTTAGATCAAAATATAAAGAGAAATAATTCCGTTTAAATTCAAAAGCTTTTACGCCTATTGTAGAATTTTATTAGCTTTCGGAAAATATATACTTCGATATGCGTATAATTATTTTTGTTGCGTTAGAGAGTGAAACAGGTCCAGCTGTAGAGTCCGGCGCGCGCTCGAGCCGCGATTCGATCGTTTAAGATCAGGCAAAAATAAAAACTAAAAAGAACTACTCGCTTCAGAAGATTCTCTTTTTCTGTGCTCTTAGCGCACACTTTTCTTTAGCAGCACACGAAATTAAGAGTCCTTATTTACGTTTATTATTACCTTTTTTAAACTTCAATCGACCAGCCGCCCTGAGCGCCCGTGAACTAGTTTTGGCTTCCAAGTAAGCGGTTAGATCGAAATATGAAGAATAACTCCGTTTAAATTCAAATGCTTTTTACACCTATTGGAGAAGTTCATTAGTTATCGGAAAATATATACTTCGATATGCGTAAAACTATTTTTCGTTGCGTTAGGGAGTGAAACAGGTAAAAATGTAGAGTCCGGCGCGCGCTCGAGCCGCGATTCGATCGTCTAAGATCAGGCGAAAATAAAAACAAGTACTCGCTTTAAAAGAGTTTTTCTTTCTGTGCTGTTAGTACACACTTTTCTTTCGCGGCACACGAGATTAAGAGCCTGTATCCACGTTTATCATTGCATTTTTTAAACTTAAAATAAGAACACAAGAATTTAAAAGCAAGTTGTTTGAAACAACCGTGGCTCTAAAAACAAAAACGCTGCAACTGGAAAACACAACACTTTGGAGTATGGGCTCCCATAGGCTCAAAACCACGCGAATATATCCTTTACATACGCGAGCGATGTGCAATATTTAGGAAGGTCACTCGTGCCCTCAAAAGCAATGAAATACAATGTATTTTCTTTTTTTCACCGAAACAAAATAAACGACATCCGACTGTGACTACAAGGAGCCAATTTCGACTGCACAACAAGAAAAAAGACATACTCTTTGCAAACATGCGCGATGCAGAAGCACTCGGTACTCACATATTTCTTGAAAAGAGAGACACGGGAGTTGGAAGTCATCGAGAGACGGCCGTTTTGCAGGGATGAGTATGGCCCTCAAACGGGCCGTTTGTACAGCAGGGAGATAGCTCCTGGGTGTTACTTGGAACTGGTGTACTTGGTGACAGCCTTGGTGCCCTCGGACACCGCATGCTTTGCCAGTTCACCCGGCAGCAGGAGCCTCACAGCTGTCTGGATCTCCCGAATCGTGATGGTCGAGCGCTTGTTGTAGTGAGCCAGCCGATACGACTCTGCTGCGATGCGCTCGAAGATGTCGTTCACGAAGCTGTTCATGATCGACATGGCCTTGCTGGACACTCCGGTGTCGGGATGGAACTGTTTGAGCACCTTGTAGATGTAGATGCTGAAGCTCTCCTTCCTCTTGCGCCTCTTCTTCTTCTTGTCGGTGGCACGCACATTTTTCTGTGCCTTGCCCGCCTTCTTCACTGCTTTTCCGCTCGGTGGGGGGCATCCTCGCGCTACTTGTCTTCGGGCGAAGATCGACGCCGTTACTCGCAAAAAGATGGCGAAACAACAACTGGGGCAACCTGAACTCGTCGGCGGGTTTTTTCTTTTTTATAGGTCAGTCAGTCAGAGTATTGGGAGGAGGAACTCAAAGGAAGTGTTGCTGAGCCGGAAGCTCTATATGTCACCTTTCTTTTGGGGTAGGGGATGTGGAGTGAAAGGTAAAGATAGGAGAAGGGTGGTTGCCCCAGAGTCGCGCCGCAAATTCGCGCCGCCGCGCAACGCAAGCCGCACGAAGAAGCCCCCCCGGCCGAGAAGAGCGGCCGGCGAAGTGCGCTTCTTCGTAGAAGTTGAGGCAGAGTCTTCTCTGATTCTTGAGTTAGTCTACTGTTTTCACAGCATTCTGAAAAATGTGCTCCGATTGGCTAGCATTCTAGAGCGCGGGAAACAGTGCACTGTTATTGGAGATCGCCCAAAATAAAGCTTCGCGATTGGTTCCTGCGCGAACCAATGAGCAAGCAGTTGAAAGTTGAAACTACAATTTTTTGGGAGAGGAGTGCTATGAAGCAGAGGCAGTGCAAGGCGAAAACGCGCTCTTGCAGCGCCCCCCAAGCGGAAAGGACTGGCACTTGCTTTGATATTCTGCTTCTCGATGCGCTGACTCCCTCACTCACTCAGTGTTTGTTGGTTTGTTCGGTTGTCCACTTCTCACCTCCACCAAGATGTCTGGGCGCGGAAAAGGAGGCAAGGCAAATGGCAAAAGCAAGAGCCGTTCCAGCCGCGCGGGGCTCCAGTTTCCCGTGGGAAGGATCCACCGACTACTGTGAAAGGGCAACTACGTGGAGCGAGTAGGTGCCGGTGCCCCCGTCTACTTGGCGGCCGTACTCGAGTACCTGGCTGCCGAAGTGCTGGAGCTGGCAGGAAACGCGGCCAGGGACAACAAGAAAACTAGGATCATCCCTCGACACCTGCAGCTGGCCATTCGCAACGACGAAGAGCTCAACAAGCAGCTGTCCGGCGTTACCATCGGGCAAGGAGGTGTCTTGCCCAACATCCAGGCCGTCCTCCTTCCAAAGAAGACCGAGAAGAAGGCGTAAATCATCCCGCGGCATCCGCTACAAAAAAACGATCCTTTTCAGGACCACTCATGACTTGAGTACAGGATACTCATTTCCGTGCGCTAGTCTTCTGTGTCTCTAAACGCTCGGGTTAGTGCATTTCAATTTTGTTTTTGTGGGATGTCGACAATGTTTCTTTTTCATCGCCTAAAGGCCTTGAATGCCACTCTTAGGCAGTCTCCTATGCATAATATTTACGCTGCGTTTAATTCAAAAATTCTTTCACGTGTGCGAATTGCGTCAAGCGACCGAACAAGACTTGCTGTCGGGCGCAAAGGCCAGCATTGCTTGTTATTTGAACTCGTAAAACCACCGCTGCACTGCCTCGCTTTGAGAGGATTTGAAGCTGTTTCTACGAGAGTCAACAATCGCAGCAGCATTTCCCCGAAAACGGCAGAGGGCAATAAATGTTGTGGACATCCCTCAAAAACAGATACTTACTCTGCGGGGTTTTGTTAGTCAAATCTATAATCGTGATATTCGCTGATTGCTAGAAAATTAACCCTGTAATGTCTCGGGAGAGGGTTTTTTCTTGTTTATTTTTTTCATTCAACAACACTTTAGAAAACAAGGAACACATGAAGGAATCGTTGGAAGCAACTGCGAACGGAGGACTTGGCACCATGCAAACTAGTTCGAAATGAGAGAATAAATAGAAAGTACTCACAGCTTTTGAACTCCTGCACTTGGAACAAGTCAGCATCGGAGATTGAGACACTTGAGGACGTCGCTTTACACAGGTCCGAAAAGCATGTCTGATGTGGCCCTGAAGAGGGCCGTTTTTGTGGCTTTGCCTGCCGCTTCCAAAGAAGCGACATTAAGCGCGTTCACCGCGGATGCGACGAGCCAGCTGGATGTCCTTAGGCATGATGGTTACCCGCTTGGCATGGATGGCACAGAGGTTGGTGCCTTCGAAGAGACCGATCAAATAGGCCTCGCTGGCCTCCTGCAGGGCCATTGCAGCCGAGCTCTGGAAGCGGAGGTCCGTTTTGAAAACTTGGGCGATCTCCCGCACGCCTCTGTAAGGGCAGCTTGCGGATGAGCAGCTCAGTCGACTTCTGGTAACGACCAATCTCACGCAGCGCGACCGTGCCCGGCCTGTAGCGATGCGGCTTCTTGACTCCACCGGTTGCAGGAGCACTATTCCGGGCGACCTTCGTAGCCAGCTGCTTGCGCGGCGCTTTTCCTCCCGTGGTCTTGCCGGCAGTCTGCTTCGTACGGGCCATTCCGAAACGTTGGGACAATAAAACGAGAGAGCTAGCAAACAGCAACAACCTCGACTCCTGACGACCAACTGCCAGTAGTAGTAGTAGTGAGCGTTGAAAAATAAAAATTGTGGATAGGAAAAAGAGTCAAAGTTGTACGCGCACGATGCGCATTTGTCACTGACTCTTGGGGATAGGGTGAGGGGAGAATAGTGGGGGTGAGTGGGTGGGACAGGGATAGAAATAGAAAAGGGGTTGGGCATCAGGAACGCTGTCTCACCGTCTCGCAGCTCGCCAGTTCTTCGTCCGATGAACGCGCTCAAACTTATAGTGGGGGAAGGGAAAAGGGTCTCCAGCTCTGGTGGCTGGCACCGCGCGGTGTCCGGAGATCAAGGCGATCTCCGGGGGCGACCGCGCCGTGTGGAGGGAGGCATCGACTTTGCTGCGCCGGCGCCTCGAAGAGACCGTCTCTTCGACGCGCGCCGGAGCTGTTATTCGGTTGTGGGTTGGGAGGGGGTACCGGAGCGCTCCTGACCCCCGCCGTCTGCGGGCGCCCGTAGCGATCCCAGCGGGAGGGAGAAGAACCTCTCAGCCAGCCAACCGCAGCCACCTGGTGGAGGGGTGGACAACTATCCTCGCCAAGGCGCGTCTGGCAACCGAGGGGAAGGAGGTGACCCCAGTTCAGCTCCCGTAAGTGCAAAGTGCTGAAGTGGGGGCCTACAGAGAATGTAGAGGGGGCTTTGGACACACCGCTTGTACTGCAGGGGGAGACTATGCAGTGTGTCACGGACTACAAGTACTTGGGTGTACACCTGTCCACGGGTAGGAACTACATCCAAGCACATGAATCGGCTGTCCGAGCAAAGGCCATGAGGGGAAAGGGAGTGCTGGCAGCAACGTCCATGTGGGCTTTCGACCGCTACGAGGTTGCTCGTAGCCTGTGGAAGATGGTGATGGTGCCCGGACTGACTTTTGCGAATCGGGTGCTGTGCACGTCGTCTCAGACTCGGGAGTTCCTAGAGGTTCGACAGCGGGAGGCGGGACGGATGGCACTCGGGGCACACAGGGGGACTCCAAACGAAGGGGTGCAGGGGGACCTCGGATGGTCTGCTTTTGAGTCGAGGGAAGCGGTGGCTAAGCTGATTTACGAGAGGCGTCTTCGCGGCCTCGGAGAGGAGCGATGGGCCAGGAGGGTGTTTAAGTACCTCGTGTACAGGAGTGTAAACACGCGCCTGACCAAACGGGTGGCCAGGCTCGCGGGGAAATATGAGGTACCACCGACCCTGCTGGACGGCCGGCCGCTCCGAGAGGGGGTTACGGACCTCAAGAAGCACGTGCGGCAGGTCGAGACGCAAAGGTGGACGGAGTCGGCCACACGAAAACCATCAATGACTGTGTATGCTGCCTCGAAGCGGGAGATCGAGCGGGAGCAGCTGTACGATGACTCCAGGGGCAGCAGCTTGCTTTTCGAGGCACGCACGGGAACCCTCAAGACCAGGCTGATGAGATCGCGATTTGACGCTGGGGCCCCAATCGCCTGCGTAGCCTGCGGAGCAGCAGAGGAGACAACCGAACATCTGGTGCTGCAGTGCAAGGCCCTCAGCCCGTGCCCCCAGGTGGACCATCTGCCGGACGCGCTGGGCTTCCGGACGGCGGAGCGGGGGGATAACGGCGAGGAACACGTCGAGACCACCAAGCGCCGACTAGAGCAGTGGTGGGAGATTTCTTGGTGGCTGTGGAAGAGGGAGAGGCGAGCTGGGCCGGACGTGCAAGCGCAAGCCGGACAACCGATTTTTTCCGCCCAAGTCGACCTGCCCCACACCGTGGACCCGACCGAAGCTCCAACACATCAAGAACTCGGCTAGGCTTGGCTAGAAACCAGGCTGAGCAAGCCTTTTTTTTTTTGCAGGCCATCGCCGGAACTTCTGGCGAGCGGCCACCCGTTACAAAGGGGACGCCACTAAATCCAAATCCAAATCCAAATCCAAAACACATCGTGTCGGGGAGGCCGACCGCCGTCGCCCGCTTTCGGCCTCCATCTTCCGCTCTCCTCTGGGTCCGGTTGGGAGAGGAGGTCGCGGTGCAGGCAGCTCGGTCTCTCTCTCCCATCTCTTGCAGCCCGGCTGTGCTTGTTGGGGGCGAGGGGCCTCTTGCTTATCTCCTCTGGAGCCGGGTGCCGTTGTTTCCAGTCTGGCGTGGTCTTTTGTTTCCTCGTCGCCGGCCTGTCAGGTTCGCTCCGCGCTCGGTCGTCCGTGCGGCCGTTCGGGCAGTTTTCGCCGATGGTCGCGCGTCTATAGCACTTCGGTGAGTCCTGTGTTTACCAGGAAATCGATGAGTGCCCTGAGCGCCTTCTTTTTTCCCTCTGCAGGTCCTGTGGGTCTGAGGATTACTTCAAGTGCTTTGGTTGGGAGCCCCAGTGAACGGAATGTCGCCAGCATCGTTTCCCGCTCCTCGGAGTACTGTGTGCTCGGCATCTCCGAGCTCTCCGCAGCTGTCGCAGTCCGGGTCGTCACGTCGTCTAAACGTGTGAAGTTGTTCAGCCGTCCAGGCGCTCCCCGTACGGAGTCTGTGCACGATCGCAGCCACCTGTCTTCCCAGGGAACGTGGAATTTTGGCCGGTCTGTCTCCGGCTGCCAGACGATCGTCCGGTTGCCGTGCCGCGGTGTTCCTTGCGACCAGGAGCTTGGCATCGTCGAACTTTGCGACCCCGATCACCGGAACGCCTTCCCCGTCGTGTGCTCTGTCAGCCAGGGTGTCGGCAGCCTCATTGCCTCCAATCCCGCAGCGCGCCGGCGCCCATTGGAAGTTCAGGCAGTGGCCCCGCTCCGACAGACGTCCTGCCGTCATCGCAACTCTTCTGGCCAGTGGTGGGGCCTATTCCAACTCTGCCAGTCGCGTCAGTGCTGCCCTGAAGTCCGAGCAGATAATCCAGCTCACCGGGTCCTCCACCGTGTCTCCGATGTGGACAAGAGGAGCCACCGGAAGTCCCGGCGCCGCGAGCTCCGCCGTCGTGCTCGACGCATGGAAGTCGAGTTTGCCGCTGAGACTCTGCCTGTCGTCTTCCAGCACCACTGCAGCCGTGGATGATCCGTCGGACGGCCGCACCGAGCCGTCTGTGTAGACTCTTTTGCAGCCCGGGTAGTTGTGCTCTAGACGGTGTTCGGTCAGCTCCCTCGCCACCGCAGCGTTGACCCTTCTTCGGGACGTCATCCCCTCCACCCCGAGGGCAACCCGGAGCGGCTCTGGGCCGTGATGCAGCGCTGGGAGTGGTGGCAGTGGTGGTGGTTTGTATACGATCTCGTCCAGCCTGTGTAGCATCTGTCCCAGCTCCGACTCCGGTATCCCTCGGATGCTCTGCAGCAGTGAAGTGGCCGACGTGCAGCTGCTCATTCGGATGAGGTGTCTCAACGCCCGATGCTCCAGTTGGTGTTCGACTGTGGCCGCGTTCGCCTCGACGAGTGTAGGGAGTGATGGTGCTCCCCTCGGGATCCCGAGGCAGATCCGCAGTTCTACCCTTTGGGCTCTTTCGAGCATCTCCAGATGTCTCGGCAGCAGTGAGGCCAGGGGGAGTGCGTAGAGGGGGCGTGACAGTATCAGACCGTGATACAACTGCAACATCATGGCTTGTGACGTGCCCCACGAGTTGCCGCAGAGCCTCCGGAGGATATTAGTATGCTGCCGCATTCCCCTCAATGCCTGGGTCGCCGCCGGGCCAAAGGATAACCGCGAGTCGAGCTGCATCCCCAGGTAAGTCATGATGTTCTTTCTCTTTACTTGCTTGTTGTTTATGAAGATTTTGGGCTGGAAATGTCTTGTATTTTCCGCGTACTTCATGAAGTTGGTTTTTTCCGCGGATACTTCCAGTCCCAGTTGTTTGAGATGATAGACGACGTTGTTGAGGACTCGCTAGAGCTCCTCAACGGCCTTCTTTCTCTTGTACGGTGTTGAGACCGCCCACAGTGCCACATCGTCCGCGTAGACAGCCATGTGGATCTCGTGTTCCGAGTATTGGTCGCGTTGCATCCCCTGGGGCAGTGAGGAGATTGCAGCGCGGAAAAGGAGGGGGCTCAACACACTGCCCTGAGGGACACCTCCTGTTGTTGTTTTGGGGTGACTGCAGTGACTCCCCACCTTCACTCGCGATGTACGTCCGGCGATAAAGGCCCTAATGTAGTCGAGCGGGCGGCCGACAACTCCCAGTCGCCGCAGAGCCCTGATGATTGTAGCCTGAGGGATGGCGTCAAAGGCTTGCCTGATGTCCAGCAGGACGACCACCGCCGAATCGCCGCGCTCCCTCGCCTCCTCCAGTGAACTGATCAGATCTCCGATGGCATCAGCGGTGCATCTTCCCGGTCTGAAGCCGTTGAAACAGTCGGGCAGGGCGTGGGTTTCCTCGAGGTGGTAGAGGAGCCGTTTGTTTACCATTCTCTCCAACGTCTTGCCGAGGCAAGACGTCAGAGAGATCGGCCGGTTTGACTTCGGGTCCTTGCCCGGCTTGAGGAGTGGTATGATAGTGGCCTCCTTCCAGTCTCCGGGAATGTCCGCTGTGCGCCAGACTTCGTTGTTGATCTTGAAGAGAGAGGCGAGAGAGTCCGCGTCTAGGTTCTTGATTGCCTGCGACGTCACCCTGTCTGGTCCCGGCGCCGTGCGGCGCATGGTCGTTGCATTGATTGCGTGTTTTAGTTCCCTGATGGTGAAGTCCTTGTCTTGGAACCTCATCGGGGGGGGCGTGGTGGTACCTCATTGGTGCCCAGCCTGGTGGCTAGGGACCCAGCACAGGGCGGGCAGGGATGGCCAGAAATATGTCGGCGAGGAGTTCCGCCATCGCTTCTTCTGTGAGCTGCAATTTAGCTGCCATGCATAACACCGGGCGTGTCGGGCCGTCCGTCCTTGCCAGGGCCCTCGCCATCTTCCATGCTCTCCCAGCGCCCTTCGGGTTGCCGAAGGAGGCGCAGACAAGCTGCCATTGCCTTCTTGCCAGTTTTTTCCCCTGTCGCCTAAACTTCGCGTCCAGGTGCCGGTACTCCACGATGTCTTGTGTTGGCGTTGTGCGCCAGGATCTCCTCTGCGCCTGCCTTCTTTGCGCCCATAGTCTCACCCACTTGAGGTCAGGGTGTGGCCTGAAGCAGGGCACCGAGATGGTTTTGGTGGACTCCTCGAGGGCCTCCTTTATCAGCTTGGTGGTGAGGGGTTGTCTCGAGGCGGCCGCTGCCTTTAGCCGACTCCGGTATTCGTCCCAGTTGGTTACTGAGCACCTCTTTTGGGGGGCGCGGCCCGGTTTTCCGATGATAATGGGCCGGTGGTCGCTGCCTCCGCTGTCCGAAGCCGGAGTTGCCGTAATTCTTAGTCCTCTTGTTGCCAGCGTGAGGTCTATGATGCTTTCACTTGCGCTAGGTCCCACGTATGTTGGGGTCCCTTGTGTTAAATTTACGAGGTCCAGGTCGTCGAGGACCGCCTGTAGGGCCGCTCCCCGCTGCGTTGTCCTCCCGTCCCCCCACGACTCACTGTGAGCGTTGAAATCTCCGCAGATTATGCCCTCGCTGTCTGTGTAGATGCGCCTGCGTATCTCCTGCACATCTCGAGGGTTCCATTGCGAGCCGGCGACCCGCGGGGGGACGCAGGCAGACACCACCACGATGGGGCGACCCTGTATAGTCACCGACGCTGCCGCGTATTCTGCCAGCTCTCCGCAGAGATCGTCGAGGGTTATACGGTACTGCGGCAGTTCGTTCTTGATGAGCAGGGCCGCGCGTGGGTGTGCTCCCGGTCTTCCAGCTCTGCTTGTGTACAATGCATAACGCGATAGGTGAATTTTGTGGCCGGGGGCCTTGGGCTCTTGGATGGCGATAATTTGGTAGTTTTTACTGATTCCGGGTCCCTCGTTGAGTAGTTTTAATTCTTGGATGTGCGCCTGTATGCCGTTGATATTCCACTGTAGTATGCTTGGTATGAGCGGTTGGGTTGTTTGGTTGATTCTAATTTTTGTAGGCATGATTGGGTTGGGAGGTTGAATGCTGAGTTGGGTTGATTTAGGTTGACACGAGGCGGCGGATTAATTGGGCAGACTCCTTCACAGCTTGGCCAGTTTCCTCCTCGAGTAGTGACACCAGCGCGTCAACAATCCTCATTAGTTGTGCGACGAGCTCGTGCAGTTTCTCCTGTCGCTCGTCGTGGCCCCTGCCCCCTTGGGTTGGCTTCACCACACGCGGGTGGCTTCCCCTGACACCGTTTCTGTCTCCTTGGTGACGGCGCTCACCTCTCTCTCTCCTCCCTCGCGTCGGGGCTCCTCCTCTCCCGGGGGATTCCCTCGTTTGTTGTTGTACTGGCAGCTGCTGCCTCGTCATCGCCTCTCCGGCCTTGCGCTCGCCGTGGGGCCTTGGGGGAGAGGGCGATGTTGTCAGCGCTGTTGCGCTTGTCACTCCGGCGGTGGGCGTGTCTCCCGGCTGCGTGGGAGAGGGAAGGGGCTCCGCTGGGGTCGATGGCCGGTACCATTGGGTTCTCCGCCGTCTCCGTGGGCGCTGCGGTAGTCCCAGCGGCGGCGGAGTGGGCGGGGCCTCGCAGTTCTCCTCTGGTCGGCATCCCGTGCGGATCTCCTCCTCCGTGTCGTTGTTTTCGCCGGCGTCCCCGCGTCGTCCGCTTTGAGAGCCGTGCCTGTTCGCTCTGCCGCGGAGGGTCGGTGGTGGTCCCCCGCTCCAAGCACTGGCCCGTGGCTCTAGTCCGCTTGCTTCTCTGGAGGCCGCGCTCCAGTCACCCCCGTTCCGGGCCGCGATTTCTGCTGTCGCCTAGGCGTGCTCGTAGGCCGGACAACGTCGGTCGAAGGCTCCGGGGGGGCTACCGCTTTTGGGACAGGTGGGATTCTGTGTGCTTGGACACTGACCATTCCCGTGTCTTGCCTTGCAGGTTGTGCAGGCCGGTTGGTCTGTGCACGCCGCGCGAAGGTGGCCCAGTTGTCCGCACCCTCCGCACTGAGTCGGTCTCGCCGTCGGCTCCAGGACCGGGAGGGGCACGCCCCAAAGTTCCACGTGCCGGGGGCGGGGGCCGTCGAAGTGGAGTTGCAGCTTCCTGCCCTTGTCGAAGACCCGGGCCTCCGTGATGGGTGCTGCTGCCTGTATACCCCCCTGGATATGGTTTTTCCTCGACGGAAAGCGAGGACGGACCACCCCTTGGGTTCCCCGTTGTGGGATGTGCAGGTGAGTGCGGACCGTGATGTTTTGGACGACTGTTGTCCGCAGAAGCTTTTCGATGGCTGCGGGGTCTTGTGTGTCTACTGCCGCTACGTTTTTTCGTGTGTTTACACGTACAGCCGTCGCCTGTCCTTCGGTGGCTAGCGACAGCGCTCTGGCTATCAGTATTTTGTTTCCCATATAGAATTGTCCTGATCCTGGAAGGGGGTGGACTAGTACCGTGTTAGTCTCTCCTCGTTGGAGCCTGGCCATCTTAGCTGCCACTTTCCCCTCCAGTGCCTCTTTCTGTTGAGGGGTCGGTTCGGGGTTTTTCTTCTTTTTCTTCTTTCTTCCTTGAGTTGTCCATGGGCCTTCTTGGTCCAGGGAGTCCTCAGGTGCCTCACTCGGCTTGCGCAGGGCGGGGGGCTGGCCGCCTCGCGGTGACTCCTCGTCGGGAATCTGGCCGGTGCTTTCCTCCGTTGATGTGAGTGGGGGGTCCCCCTCCATGCACTCGCCGGCTCTGGGCTGCTCCTCGGCCGGATCGTCTCTGCACATCTCCGGGTCTGGGTCCCGTTCTGGGGGTTGTCGTTGTGCCTGCTCTTCTCTCGTTTTCCTCATTAGAAGATAGGCGAGCGTGGTGAGAGCCCTCAGATTGGGGCTGTACTGCTGCTGACCTGCTCGTGGAGAGCTTTGATCGATGGGGTTCTCCGGGGCTGCCTGCGGCGTAGGTGCAGTCCGGCTCGGCGACGCCGCCTCGGGTGGCGGCCTGGTGGTGATTTCCCGGCTCCACCTCCCCGCTTCTGCCGAGTGCGGGCCGCAGCGGGCGACTCTCCTGGTTGCATCCTGTCGGCTTTCGCCGCGCCTGTCTATACTGTCAGCTACCGCCTCGTAAAGGCGAGGTAGCTGCCAGTGTGCTTGATAGGTTGTAGTCTCAGTATTTTACAGTTGGAATTAGTAAATACTGGATTTTCTGGGGCTTTGGTTCCCGTGGTGATTTGGTTCATGGAGCTTACGATTGCACGTCTGCTCACCTTGGCTCCTCAAACCGAACTGACCAACTGCCACAGCGCGAGAGTGACCAACTGCCACAGCGCGAGTGGCGAAACGTCTTCCCGACGAGGCCTCTCGGCCAATCAGAGAGCTTGTTCATTCTGGATGCTGTTTTGGCAAGTTTCTTGCGAGGGACAGCGCGCGTGGCTCGCTAGGACAATATTTCACGATTGAAGTGATCTAAACTTGTGGGATAATGTGGAACCCACGTTAGAGCACAGAATCGAGCAAAAATTAGACTCCCAACCTTGTTATTTTAGAAACGGCACGGTTATAAACATTCGTTACCTTCTCCGGTGGGCCGCGCTCGCCTCTCGCCCAATCAGCGCGCTTGTTCATTCTTGGATTCTGTTTTGGGCGACTTTCTTCTGAGGGCCTATGCGCGTGGCTCCGTAAAAAAATTTTTCTCGACCGAAGCAACTCAGACTTGTGAGGATAGTGTAGAACCTATATTAGAGCACAGAATCGAGCAAAAACTAGACTCCCAACTATGTTATTTTAGAAACGGCATGGTTACAAACATTCGTCACCTTCGAAGGGCTTCTCCCGGAGGTTCGCGCTCACCTCTCTCGGCCAATGAGCGCTTGTTCTAGACGGTTTTTTTCAGTCTCTCTCTGCTTATGATTAGAGTGGGTCATGTCCGAAGAAGAGTCTGCTCCTGCAGGGGTCGCGGCCCCCGCTGCCCTCAAGAGCCCCAAAAAGGCTTCCACGAAAGTGTGCAAAGGAAAGGCAAAGGCCGTGCCAACGCATCCCAAGGTGTCCGCAATGGTGACAGCATCCATCAGTGCGCTTAAGGAACGTGGTGGTTCATCTCTACAAGCCATCAAGAAATACATGTCTGCCAACTACAAGGTGGACGTCGAGAAGCTGTCTCCTTTCATCCGCAAGTACCTCAAGTCTGCCGTGACTGCGGGAGCATTGGTGCAGACCAAGGGCAAGGGAGCTACCGGATCGTTCAAGCTGTCAGCCAAGTCCGACAAGCCCTCACCTGCCGCTTGAGAGCCCAAAAAGGAGGCTGGTGCTGCAAAGAAGCGCCCAGCCTCGGCAACTGCCAGTGCAGCCAGGAAGAAGAAGCCCGGGACTGCCAAGAAGTCGCCCGGAAAGAGGGCCAAGTCGGCCAAGCCCAAGTCGGCCAAGCCGAAAAAGCCAGAGGTAGAGAAGGATGCTGCAGCACCCAAGAGCCCCAAGAAACCCAAGGCAGCAAAAAAGACCCCTGCCAAGAAGCCTGCTGCAAAGAAGGCTTCCTCCAAGAAATAGGTCTTCTCCTGGATACCCAGAGCGAAAAACAAAACGGCCCTCGTCAGGGCCATAATTCGTTTGCATATCGGGGGATATGCACTTGCGTGGCATGCAGCTCCCGTGTCTCTCGCCACCTCTCTGTTCCAGCCTCGGTAAACTGATTCCTGCTCTTTTTCAATTTGCACAAGGCATTCTTGGTGTTATATTATTGTTAACATATTGTGTGTTTACCTGTTAGCAGCATTTTATCTTTGTGTGTGGTACTAGTGAAGTCGTGGAGGCCCGCTTCACGCTCGAGTCGCGATTCGATCGCCTAAGATCAGGCAAAAATAAAAAAAAACTACTTGCTTCAGAACAGTCTCTTTTTCTGTCCTCTTAGCGCACACCTTTTTTTAGCGGCACACGAAATTAAGAATTTGTATCTACGTTTATTATTACCTTTCTTAAACTTAAATCGACCAGCCACCCAGAGCGCCCGAAAACTAGTTTGGGCTTCCAAGTAAGCGGTTAGATCAAAATATGAACTAGAATAACTCAGTATTAATTTAAAATACTTTTACACCTACTGGAGAAGTTTATTAGCTTTCGGAAAATATATACTTCAATATGCGTAAAAATATTTTTCGTTGCGTTAGAGAGTGAAACATGTGAAGCCGTGGAGGCCGGCTTTGCACTCGAGCCGCGATTCGATTGTCTATGGTCAGGCAAAAATAAAAAATAAAAGGAAAATAAAAATATGAAGAAGAATAACTCCGTATAAATTCAAATTTTTTTACACCTATTGGAGACGTTAATTAGCTTTCGAAAAATGTATACTTCGATATGGGTAAAAATATTTTTTGTTTCGTTAGAGAGTGAAACAGGTGAAGTCGTGGAGGCCGGCTTCGCGCTTGAGCCTCGATTCGATCGTCTAAGATCAGGCAAAAAGAAAAAGAACTACTCGCTTCACAAAAGTCTCTTTTTCTGTGCTCTTAGCGCACACTTTTCTCTAGAGGCACACAAGATTAAGAGTCTATCTACGTTCATTATTACCTTTTTTAAACTTAAATCCACTGAGCCATCCAGAGCGCCCGAAAACTAGTTTGCCTTCCAAGTAAGCGGTTAGATCAAAATATGAAGAAGAATAACTCCGTTTAAAATCAAATGCTTTTCACACCTATTGTAGAATTTTATGAGCTTTCAGAAAATATATACTTCGATATGCGTAAAAAATTGTTTCGTTGCGTTAGAGAGTGAAACAGGTCAAGCTCTGGAGTCCGGTGCGCGCTCGAGCCGCGATTCGATCGTCTAAGATAAGGCAAAAATTAAAAATAAAAAGAACTACTCGCTTCAGAAGAGTCTCTTTTTCTGTGCTTTTACCGCACACTTTTTTTTAGCGGCGCACGAAATTAAAAATCTGTATCTACGTTTATTATTACCTTTTATAAACTTAAATCGACCAGCCACCCAGTGCGCCCGAAAACTAGTTTCGCCTTCCAAGTAAGGTTGAGATAAAAATATGAAGAAGAATAATTCCGTTTAAAATCAAATGCCTTTTACACCTATTGGAGAATTTCATTAGCTTTCGGAAAATATATACTTCGATATGCGTAAAAATATTTTTTGTTGCGTTAGAGAGTGAAACATTTGAAGTCGTAGAGGCCGGCTTCGCGCTCAAGCCGCGATTCGACCGTTTAAGATCAGGCAAAAATTAAAAATAAAAATAACTACTCGCTTTAGAAAAGTCTCTTTTTCTGTGCTTTTAGCGCACACTGCTTTTTAGCGGCACACGAATTTAGGAGTCTTTATTTACGTTTATTATTACCTTTTTTAAACTTAAATCGACCAGCCACCCAGAGCGCCCGAAAACTAGTTTTGCCTTCCAAGTAAGCGCTTAGATCAAAATATAAAGAAAAAGATTTCCGTTTAAATTTAAATGATTTTTACACCTATTGTAGAATTTCATTAGGTTACGGAAAATATATACTTCGATATGCGTAAAAATATTTTTTGTTGCGTTAGAGAGTGAAACAGGTGAAGCCGTGGAGGCCTGCTTTGCGCTCGAGCCGCGATTCGATCGTCTAAGATCAGGCAAAAATAAAAACTAAAAAGAACTACTCGCTACAGAAGATTCTCTTTTTTTGTGCTCTTAGCGCACACTTTTTTTAGCGGCACACGAAATTAAGTCTTTATCTACGTTTATTACTACCTTTTTAAACTTAAATCGACCAGCCGCCCTGAGCGCCCGAAAACTACAGTCTAAAAAAAAGGGAGTAATACTTCCTCCCTTAAAGGAGGAACTCGCGTGTATCATATATTGCTCTACAAAGGGAGGAAATTTCCTTCCCTAGGAGGGAGGAAAATCGCGATATTTTTTTCTTCCAATGGAGGAAACTATCTCCCCTCGTGTAATTCATATAGCTTCCACAGATGGCGCTCAAAACAGAAAAAAAATGTTGGTGAAGTGCCTTTCCATTGTCCCTCGCCCTTGAACGCTACATGGTAAATACACATACAACACCGAACACACACACATACACAGAATACACGAAACACAAGCAGAATAGCTCAGAACAACAACAACGCAGCGACTCCGAACCCCCACCCCTCTCCACGTACGCTAAGTTTGCACTCTCTCTATATATGGCAGTCATATTTTTGAACCCGACTTGGCCGGTGACTGCCATCATTTGTCGCATGAACACGGAGAGACAGAGCAAATATTTCTCGTACTTCATATATTATTTAACTCGTCTCTTGGAATAGCCGCCATCTCTTAATTCAACAGCCTGATAAAAGCGAATGTAGGTCATTAGGATAATTAACTAAAATTTAATAATTAATCATTTAATAAGTTTGAAGAATCATGTTGGCAATGCAGTCTTGAAATGCTGTACACTGGTGCTGAAATTTGCCACCAAGCTATTGCTTGATTGGAGTGTTCAGTGCCAGTGTAATCTATTTTAAGTTTCGGTGGGGGATTAATTAATTTTAATTGTTGCACGAGGAGTTCAATGAATTTTGCAAACAAAAATATTACTGGTTTTAACAAGACTCGTTGCAAGAGCAGAGGACATATCTTGGGTCATGCTTTGTCACCCTTAATAAAAAGTTTAATATTGTTTTAATTTTCTAACCTGGAGGCGTTTTTCCTATCAAAAGTAAGTGCCGGGAGCGATAAGGACCCACGAACTATGATTTTGGTATCGCAACCGCTTGAAAACATCACGTTGCCCAAGTCAAAAGTTAAAAAAAAAGGTGTTGAGAGTTTTAGATGATTAAAAACCTGAGACTGGGGTTTGAAAAACAGAAATTCGTGAAGTAGAAAGAAAAAGAAACAGAAAATCGTGAAATAGAAAGAAGATCGTTCAGAAAGAAGATCAAAAGATCATTCAGTCACTTCCGCAACTCTAGAAGCAATTCGTCATGGGTATGACCTCCACTATATTGTCACGGGCGGTGACCAATAAACAAGAAATAAAGAGGAATAAATAAACGTTTAATGTGGCGAACTTGTGCCAAAAACGAAGAAGGAAACAGAAGAAAACAGCAGAGCGTCGTGGGCGTCGAAGTCGGCTTGTCAGCAGAATCGAGCGCTGGGGCGAGACTGACTCGACAAGGTCGCGAGCGGCATCTTATCTAGAAGAAGTCACTATCTCGAAGATTCGGCGGAGAAGGTTCGAGCGTAGCGCGCTCGGGGCGAGAATGAACACGCACTTTCTAGAACAACATAAGCGGGATAAACGATAGAAGTTATCTCCGGAGCAAGAATAAACGAGAAAGTTCTAGAAGTCCGTGACCCCTGCGCGCGGCATTACTCCCCCCTTTAAAAGTGCATCGCCCCGATGCAACACAAAACAAAACAAAGCACATAAAAAGAACGCCAAACTAAAGAGTCATTTGAAACACAAAAGATCCACAGTTCTATCGAGCGTAGTACGGCTTCAGGCGCACGACGTGGACGACCTCAGGTCGTGGTGGGCGGCGTGACGATGTTCGTGTTCCGTCGGGCATCACCTCGTAGTTCAGATCCCCGAGTCGACGTAGCACTTTGTAGGGTCCAAAGTATCGTTTCAGCAATTTCTCACTGAGGCCGCGGCGACGGATGGGCGTCCATACCCACACCCTATCTCCGGGCTGGAAGTGGACGTCCCTGCGACGAAGGTTGTAGCGGCCAGCGTCGACGCGTTGCTGGTCTTGAATACGGTGTCTGGCGAGCTGGCGGACCTGTTCTGCCCGTTGGGCAACCACCTGGGCGTTGTCGCTTCCGTCGACAGCCGGTTCGTGGGGTAACATCGCGTCCAGCATTGTCGTACTTTGCGACCATGAACCAGTTGGAAGGGTGTCACCCCGGTGGTCTCTTGCACGGCCGAGTTGTAGGCGAACGTGACGTAGGGCAACACCTCGTCTCACGTCTTGTGCTCTACGTCGACGTACATAGAGATCATATCGGCGATTGTCTTGTTGAGCCGTTCGGTCAGCCCGTTGGTCTGCGGGTGGTATGCAGTGGTTCGACGAAGGCCGGTGCCACTGAGACGAAGGATCTCTTGCGTCAGCTGTGCCATGAACGAAGATCCACGGTCTGTGATGAGGACTTCAGGGGCGCCGTGCCAGAGGACAATGGACTCGATGAAAAACTTGGCGACTTCAACAGCCGTGCCTGCTGGAAGGGCTTTCGTCTCGGCGTACAGTGTGAGATAATCGGTGGCGACGATAATAAAGCGGTTTCCCGATGTTGACGGCGGGAAAGGGCCAAGTGAATCCATTCCGATCTGCTGGAA